TGCAATCAACATTACATGCAAGTTACTATGTATGTGTGAAGTAGAATAGGGATGGATCCTAATTCCTAACATGCATTAATTATTATTTTTGGATACAATATATATTTAGCCAGTAAAAAGGAACAAGTAAAAGCAAAATAAACATCGAGCCCTGCGGATCAAGTGACATTAGCCACCTCACAATGCACTTCCTTTCCAGCTCCTTGTCAATCAGCTCAAAAAAAAAATAATAAAAGCAAAATAAATCTTCCGATGCATTAAGCACGTGAAACATCTAGAATCCCCTTTGATTTTTTTTTTTTTTTTGAATAGGTATAGTTTGGGGTAGGGGAATAGGGAATTTAAGTATGATAGTTTGATAATTTAAATTTTAGTCCTTATTAAAATATTAAATATATTTAACAATTAACTTTTGAAGTTTGGTATAAGAATTCTCTTTGATAAGATATGTCTTTTAAATAATAATAATAATAATTAATAATTTGTTTGCATTGGTCCTTGAGACCTAGTGACCTAGTCACGGTGCATTCCCTCTCCCCGGCACGGTTCAAAACCTGCCCTTGCAAAATATGTTCAAAAAAAAAAATTAATAATTTGTTTGACACATGTATCTCGTGTATATAAATGGTTGTGCTATTGTTAGGCCAAGGACATGTAATAAAATCAAGGACATGAACTAGACCCTAATTTCCCCAGTAATAAATGAATTAATTAATGTTGCTGACTTTTGTACAAAAAGTTAGGATGACTTGTTTGATGTGGAAGAAGTGATGCAGAAGGCCGAAAATGGAAGAACCACTGCTCATATATATGAGCCTTTTTTTTTTCGGCCATGCTCATATATATGAGCTTGAAAAGGTAAGAGTGCAAGAGAAGGAAAGTGAAAGGAAGACTGATGAAAAAAGAGGATTGAAGCCTTAATTATTCATTAGATCTCTTAATTATAGGGTATTATTTTCTTAATGCAAGGTTTTCTTCTCTTTTTTTTTTTGACAAATGAAATATTGGGTTAGTGAATTACCATATGTTCAAAGTCAAAATCGAATAAATAATGAGTGAACTTTACTTAATTGAGCAAACTCTACCTGTTACTCGTGGAGTAACGTGATTCATCTACTGAATCACATGAAAGAGTTTTTAATGCAAATTTAGATGTGTTTTTTTTACCATATTTTAATAATTACAATAAAAATAATTATTATTGTTAGGTTATATTTCTTCACTTTCTTAAGAATAAATGTTTAATTTATTTATTATTTTAATTTATAAGGCAAATTAAGGTCCATATATATATATATATATATTTCATGTTTTTCAATAATAATAATAATAATATCTACAAATTAAGTATCCCATGAAATTAATCTCTAATTAATGCTGATCGACATACGGAAAAAAATGTACTTACTTTGTTACCTATCGACCCACACACACAAACAGTTAGGCGTTGAGGCATTGAGCCGAGGAGAAGTACTACTTGGGCATTAATTAATGCCACCCAACTCTCATCATCAAACTCAAAAAACCCATTTTATTAACAAAACTACTTATGATTTTTTTTTTTTAATTAATTGTTTCGTTCCTTCAACTGAAAGAAAGAAAAATAAAAAATCAAGAGAAAAATTGAAATCTGCAAGTTTTGAAATACCAACAGATCGAGTAAAAAGATATATATGATCTGCTACACACATATATATATATATATAATCAAGATAGATCGAATCAACATATATCATGCAATGCTACTTAATTACTACTTTTCATATATATATAAGAACAAAAGCCGGAGAACTAACAATCATCATCATCATCATCATCACCATTCACTGTAGTTTTAGTCAGATGAGGCAAAAAAGAAAAAGAGTTGAAACCCCATAAACATATGGAAATGAAGAACACCAAATCAAGAGATTCAAGAATCCCATTGAACCCTAACCACTTTTCATTCTAATCAAATCCCATTAACTTGTCCCAGTTTTTCCTTTCAAAAAACAAAAACAGAAAAAAAAAAAAAAGGGAAATTAATTAAGAGAAAGAGAAAGAGAAAGGCGTTGCTTCACAGGCGGAGGGTGAGGTCAATATTGGCCGAAGAATCATCCACATCCGTGGTAGGGGAGAGAGAGTCGGGAGGAGTCGAAATGCCCAGAAAGCTCTGATGAGGGACAGAGCTCAAAGGAAGGCGCTGCTGTGGCTGTGGCTGTGGCTGGAAGGGTTCCAACCACTGCTCAACAAACGCTGCTGCACCTGTGGGTTGGTCGTCCATGGCCTGTAACTGGGGAAATGATATCGACGAGCTATGTTGTTGCTGTTGATAATCAGCGGGGACCTGATGAGGAAATGTGTGGTATTGCTGCTGGTCGGCGACCGGAAAATTTCGGCGGGCAGCAGCTCGCTCACGCTTGTGAGCGTTCTGATGGCCGCCAAGAGCTTGGGAGGTGTAGAACTTGCGGGGACAGTAGAGACAGGGGAAGAGTCGCGGAGATGTGGTGGTGGATGGAGCTGCTGCTGCTGCTGCGAGCTTGGTGGGTTTGGGCGCAGAAGACTGGCTCTGGCTCTGGCTCTGGCTCAAGAAGTTGTACATGGAGGGGTCTGCCATTGAAGTTGCAGAGAAGGGGAGGGGATGAGTGGAGTGGAGTGGAGTGGAGTGGGGCGGAGTGGAGTGGGTGAGGTTTATAAGGGGTTTTAAGGTTTTGTTTGTATTTGTACGTAGCTTTGGCTGCAACTTGCAGTTGCAGGCGATGTGTGATGATTGGTTGTCTGTGGAAATACAAAAATACCCCTCCCTTCTTGTGAATTTTGATTGAAAGCCAATCAACACTACAAATCTTCAATTTTTTTTTTCTTTTTTTCGACATTTATGATCATAAAGTTCTCATGTATGTGATGTTAATGACACACCTTACATATTAGTGTAGTGTATTTAGTCAAAATATATTTTGGATGTTAATATTAAAATTTAAATAGTAAATTTGACGTAATATAAGATAATATTTATTTATTAATAAATTTAATTTATAAAATTAATTAGTTAATTAATTACTACATCTAAGTGGTGGTTGAGAAGAAGAGTATCCTTAATTTTAATTATGAGGTGAAAGGTAAATTTTAAGTATGTGAATCAATTTTTAACATGGTTTAATTAGTTAATAAGATTGGAAGATATGATGTGATGTGTGAAACAAAGTGGAAATGTATTAATTAGAAGTTGAAAGTATACATGTATACATATGGCATATGATGGGAAATTAGTAGCTAGGTTAATTATTGATGAGGAGAAGTTGTGGGACTGCTGATGAATGGGAAAGGGGGGAATAGGGTAGATGACCCCATCAACAAGTACACTATATATATATATATATATGTGTGTGTGTGACAGTACAGTATGTGTAAGGACCATATATTAATTAATGTTTGATGAACACAAGGTAAGGCCAGGCTAGCTAGCTAAGTTCCTCAAATTTGATATGTTGTTATAGGAGATGTATGGAAGGGGCAGAATGGGAAATAAGAGGGTAGCTGAAAATGAAAATGGGCAATGCAATTGGCAGGAAGTGGCGACACTTACCTTCTTCCTTGTGTGCAGTGTGTGTTATGTCAGTGAATTTCTCTCTCTTTTTGTTTTGTTTGGTGGCCCTGGCCTGGCCTGGCCCTCCCCTTGCGGGTAGAGAGTCTGTTACAGTCCGTATGGTTTAATTATATATAAAATATAATAAATATAAAAAAGCACACGTAAGTGAAGTATGATTGGTGGGGGCTGGAAATGGAGCCAACTAGCCAATCATCAAAGAGAAACTGAGATATTATTCTCTCACTTCAGTCTCCACATTCCACCATGCGATGCGTTGGTTGGGAAGAGGGAATTTTCGATGAAGGGCCAACTCAGACTAGACCTTTTGAGATTTGATTTGAGGGAGAGTGAGAGAGTTTGCATTGCCATTGCCATTTCCATTGCCATTCCATTGGGTCCATTCTCCCAAAAACCAGAACCAAAAACAAAACAAAGTGGGTTAGGGGTTTCCATTAATGGGGGTGTTCTAGGTTGGCTTGGTCTTCTCAAATCTCAAAGCATAGCAAAAAATGTCATTTCCTAT